TTCTTTGTTGTCGTATCATACAAAATGAACAGTGTTTTCATTACGCTAAGAATTTATCTTTTAATTTTGGGAAAATAATTGAAATCAGACTGATTCAGTACTTGGTGTCGTATCAAACAAAATGGACCGAGTTTTGGTCCAATTTGGTCAAGTCCGGTTTAAAATCTATTAACGAACTATCCAAATCCGATCCAAGCCAAATCCAAGATAAAGTCCAAAGTCCAAACGAACCCATTTTTACTGCAAATGACTTGATTGGATCGACCTGATCTCTTCTACTCCAAACACTTGATCACTTTTAGATCGTCTCTAATAAGGAGTATTGGACGGCTTTTTGTAGAAATGCAAATGGATCAGATTGGGTTTGAATAAGGGTATATCTGAATCTGGATTCTGATCCGATCTGATTCAAATTCTGAAAATTTTAATAAAGTATTAAAAGAAGATAAGCATAACAGTTTATATAAAGAAAAACAAAAAATATAAATAACTTTGCAACTATTTTCATCATGATATTAATATATACACGTCTTTTTATAAAAAAATTACAAAAACTGTTATATAAATATATTTATAAATAAATATCCAACAAAGGGCTATCTAATCCAATCAAATCCTATTATCCTATCCGATCCAATCTAAAAATACAACAGAGGGCTATCTGAATCCGACAAAAATAGGATCGGGTTCAAATTGGGTTGGGTCATGATATGATCCATTTGCACCCTTAACTTTTTGAGAGAAATGGAAAAAGAAGGTATTATCTCAATCATCAGAGCAGAGCTGAAGCTCAATTGAGCTAAAAACATGAGCTCAAATTCAGCTTGACTCAAAGGCTTGTATAGAGCTCAGCTCAATTCAAGCTCCACAAAGAGCCAAGTTTTATATAAAAAATTCAAAATTACACATATAAGAAATTAAAAATATTATATATAATACAAATGATTAGGCTCACAAATTTTACAAGCTGAGCTCTCAGTTTAGAATAAACTGAATCATGCTTTTCATGAGTCGAGTACAAATAACTTGTAAAAAACTTGTTTTATATCAAGAGGAAGAGACAGGTGAAAAGATGAAAAAAACTATAGTGMGGATAAACGAAGTTGAGAAGAAAGTATCAAGGGGAAGGGGGAGGAGAAATGAAGGTAGAACTGAACAAAGGGTAAGGATGCAAGCGATGCGGATTAGGCCCAGTTTAAGGTTAACACAAGCCAAACCCTATGGTAGAGCTTGATTTGTTCAACCTAAGCATAGCCTATACTAAAATATGATGCACTTGAGCGGGGACTAGGTTTGGATTAATCAATTAGCCTACACAAATGTATGTATGCATGCAAGCAAATAATGTGTTTTTATGTACATACATGTATGTATATAATTGGGTCGAACTCAGTTTGGGATAAAGGTCAGGCTGGGTTTGAGTTACCCAAGGGCTAAACTTGGCCTTTGCCCGAAAATTAAGAAAACACAGACTTTTAGAATTAGGTCTAATTCGAAAACTGAAAATCCAAACCTAACCCGTAAAAACTTGTGGGCTGGATTGGCCTAAGTATGGGTTGGGCTTGTCCCAAGTTAAGGAAAATGCACGTAATGTTATATTATACACCCTATATCAAATGTATTGTATGGTATCGTTAGGGTTTCAATACACTTATTAAAAAATGTTTTGATAAACCCATTTATTTTATTTATTAAATAATTTAAAACATTTATAAAAATTTGAAAAAAATTATAAAATTAAAAAAATAAAAAACACATGAGTTAAAATTTGCAATGGTTGAAATTTGCAAGCCCATAACTTCCGGCCACACATTTACCTACCAGAGCCCACCGTTAATTATATGGGCACTAACACTAACTAGCACATATAATCTGATCCAAAGTATAGATACGTTTATTATTTGGAAATTGGAATTTCAAAGAGTGGCTGAGCCAGAAATCGTCCTAATCTCTATGTCCTCTTTTCTCCGCGTAGGAAATGCCCAAACTATCACAAAGATCTGTCCCCTTTGCATAAATATTAGAAGAAACTCCAAATTATCACAAAAATGAAAAATCTGTTAGTGGGTCCCGCTCTATGCCTATCCCATGGGCATTATTGGCAATATCTAGGGCCTGAATTTGACTATATGACCGAAGCCACAGATTTCCAATAAGGATTAAAAGAACAAGTGACGTGGATCTCATCTCCATTGACTACTCAAACCTTTCTCTCATACTATATATATAGAGAGACGAGAACGATTCTCCTTTTCGTCGTAAAATTTATCTCTCAACCAGAGAAATGGATTCTAGTGCCTCTTTTCCTATGCTCTCTGTTCTCCTTCTCTTCTTCCTCGTTTCCTGCGCTCTCCCATCCCTTACGCTCTCTGCTTACCCTTTCCTGGAATCCCAGTACCGATTGCTGTAACTTGAACTACGTCGGATGCGACCCTTCAGACCGTGTCACCCAACTCCGCTTCTACAACATCCACACTCCTTTCCAGATCCCGGAGGCCGTCGGTGACCTCCCGTACATGAACATTCTCGACTTCAATGATATCCCCAATTTCACTGGTTCCATCCCCTACTCCATCACAAAACTTCAGAACCTCGATACTCTCAGCATATGGAACACCAGCCTCTCGGGTCCTATTCCTGAATTTCTAAGCCAACTCAAAAATCTCAGGTATCTCTCTTTGGGCTACAACCAACTTTCTGGTTCAATCCCAGCTTAATGAAATTTGTTTTAGTGGAACTCATTTTCCAGTCGTGATTCAGACTTTAATTTCTTGTCTAGTCCATCAGTGAGAAATGTCTTTTTTTAATACTTTTTTAAATAATTTCTTTTAATTGTGGAGAAAAAAGCTAATAAACCTGCTGAGAAAAAAAATATATATAGAGGTAATGGCAAGTTCTTTGATTGTCAATCTATTTTAAGTGATTCAAATGTAAAAGATGAAATGAAGAGGTGGAATTTCATTAAATGAAGCAGTAAAATTTTCTTGAACAACAACAACATCCTCTCGTTTCCTAAATGTACCCAAATAAAAATCCCAGAAGTTATGATTAGTTCTTCACTTATTAATGGCGAATTAGAGCAAAACCTAATACAGTAAATCAGAAAAATAACTTTAACCTGTTCGAAGTCTACTATCCTATCTACATATGCTTCAAGAGTTTTTACTAGTACAAAGAATGAAAGTCTACATGCTTTAAGATTCAAGAACAAAGGTAAAAAGTATTAACCTTTATGAAGATTTATCAGTTTGATCTGGGCTTCCCTCTACTCAACTGAAATCTGAAAGTCTCCACTCTTCAAACCAATACAAGATGATTTGTTTTTTCAGTGGTTGAATGGAGAATGGAGAATGGAGAGGGACAGTGAGGGAGAAGAGAATACTCCTATACAGTAACCTGCTGAGTGAAGAAAAGTTGATGGTGGGCGTGATTACTCCTAGACGGTGAGACCAAAGAAGCAGAGCCTGAGCGGCAGACCAGAGTTGAGAGTTGACAGTGTCCCCAAATCTCCTTTCGTTTGCCCTTTTGGTAGATTGGAGAACGCAATGGTCATTTTTGACATCTATTAATATAAATATTACATATATTATTCAGCTTATATAATATATATAATTACACATATGCCCGGGTCGGGTCTTAATCGGTTCAGGACAGGGTGGAATTGGTAAATTCTAATCGAATCAGGCAATATCTGAATTCAAATCTGATTAGAAAATCCGATATCTAAATTCGATTCAATATCCGACGGATATTGAAAATTAATATCCAAATTCAAATCCGATTAAATATTCAAATATTCAATTCGATTCGAATTCAATTAATTAATTATTTTAAATAATTAATAAATATAAAAAAATAAATATTTTATTGATATAAAGTATATAAATATATAAATTATATAAAATATTTTATATATTGTATATAAGAATTAAATAATCGGTTGAATTTGGATATTTATCGAATCGAATCAGGTCATATCCGAATTCGACCGATTATATATTCGAATTATCTGAATTCGATTCAATTATTTCGAATATCTAATTCGAAATCGGATTTTCGAATACCATTGACACCCCTAAAATTAGGAACTGGAACCAACCCATTGGGGCAAATACTAGAACCAAAACCAATCTGATCGATTTGGTTCCGTCGGGTCCATTGGGTCGGACCCGACCAATTGAGAATAAAATGATAAAAACATATTTATGTGGTATTGTTCACGTTTTAAAAGACATCTTAATAAAGTTAATTAAGTAAATTAAATAAACTACACTAATTAAGATAATTAAATAAATTAATCCAATTACTATGTAAGTTAAGAAATTGAATAAGTAAATTAGATAAATATGTAAACTAAATTACTTAAGTAAATTAAATAAACAGAGTTAATCGATTTAAATAAGTAAATTAAGCCAATTGAGCAATGGTTTAAAAGCCAACCTGAAAGCAAAACCACTTTGGCCATCAACTTTTGGGCTAAGGGTGTGATTGCCTGGTCCAAATGGATCAACCCACAACATTTTAAAACATTAAAAAAAATACCCGAAAACCATTCACCAGGAGTTTAATGGTTTAATCGTCTGGTTTGCTACCTAAGTCAATGTTTTTTTATTTTTTATTTTTGGAAAATTTTGAGCTAAGTATAAAATAGAATAAAATAGTTGATTGATTCGTAGGTCAAACGGTTAGACTGCCCATGTCAACAACAATTTTAAAACCATATAATAAAATGAATTAACTAATTGATTAAGTAAATAAAGTAATTAAATAATCAAAGATAATTAAGGCAATTAGGCAAATTTTTAAACAAATAAAATAATTAAAGAAACTAAGTAAATTAATGTAATTAAGTAAATTGAGTTACTAAGTTAATTAAGTAAATTAAGTGATTGTTAGTTTCCTATTAATTAAGCCAATTAAGTTAATGTTTATAGTAATAATTTACTCTTATTTTTTTGTTAATTTAATGACTCTAATTTGATAATTAAAGTCCTTGAAGTAATTTACTTAAAGGTTAATAAAATTTATCTCTTAATTAATTAATGGATTTTTTAATACCTAAAGTGGCCTTTTCAAACTTGAGAGGTGCATGTTTTAATTGGATTGGAAGTTGGAGTAGAATACATGGTATATTGTTTACAAGGTTAAGAAGTTAAGATCAACTGTATGGAAGTTTACCTATCAACACTAAAATAACTATTACACGGGCAAAGAAGATGAAGCAAATGGGTTATTTTTGACCCGTTTGACAATCAAATAGAAATAAAATTTCACTGAAACACCTGACCGAATTATTACTCATTCAGATGTATTACCATTTATAATTTTTCTTGGCTTGAGACTAAGAAAGAAAAAGTATGAGAAAATTAAGCAAAGTAATTTTAGGTTAATTAAGGTAAAAAAATTTAATTAATATATGTTATTTCATTATTATATTAGATTATTAAATGACAATTAGATTTTTATTTTTATTTTTCATTAAATGATAGAAAATTTATTAAATGAAGCATACATTGTTTAACAATTAAATTGAAAATGAAATAAAATGAATGTAAATTAATAAATGTGTTTACAAATTTCAAAATGATTAAATTATTAACATATGCTTAGTTAAACACTAGAATGATTAAATAATTGGGAAAATAGTTAAATAATTAAAAATAAAATGATTTGATAAAATTGATTAAAAAATTAATAAAATTGTAAAGGTTAAAATTAATTAATATTAAGGGAAAATTTCTGATAGGTACCCTATACTTTAGGTCGTGTGTCAATTTAGTATCTAAACTTTATAGCGTAACAATCTAGTACCCAAACTTATGAAATGCAACAATCTAGTACCTATCGTTAATGAACCATCGATTACCATTGATTATGTATATCACGTGATCTCATGTACAATTTAAGACTTTTGAAAATATCAAAATTAACCTTAAACACTGTTCATCATCTTTGTCTAAAAAATGAAAGAGAGCCCAAACTCTTAACAGTGCATCGTCGTTTCATGACAAAAATCCAAGAGCCCAAAATAAGGGTTCGTAGCTCGCTATCCTCCAAGAGCCCAAAATAAAGAAGCGACAAACTCATGTTTTTAAAACCCAAACTTCTATCAGAGTCCGAATCTGCTGAACCTTTTTTTCTTAACTCTCGTTTCTGCCAGAGGCATATTCGAATTGGGTTTTTTCACTCCTGGTAATTCTACCAACAACCGGTACCTGGGGATTTGGTATCGTGGTGTGTCTCCTCAAACGCTTGTGTGGGTCGCCAACAGAGACCGCCCAATTCCAAATTGGAATGGAGTGTTTACCATCTTCGGGGATGGAAACCTCCAGATTTTAGATGAAGGAAAAGTAGTTTGGTCTACAAAGGTTGCAACTGCAACCACTAACACCACCTCTATTCTCTTGGATTCTGGGAACCTTATCCTGACGGCAGGAGGAAGAGGAGGAGGAGGAGAGAATGGGAATCACAACCCGATATGGCAGAGCTTCGTTTATGATGAACGCAACCCATCGAATACGTTCCTCCCAAGAATGAAGCTGGAGGCAAACCAGATGTTAAGATCATGGACAGATGAGTATGATCCAGCACCAGGAGCATTCACATTTGAGCATCATGGTAATGGATCAACCGTCTATTGGAGAAGTGGATCATCGGATGGATTATCTTTCTTAGTGATCTACTTGCTATCAAATTACAGTGCCGATGCCATTGATTATTCCAATGGAAATCTGTTGGACCAACTCACAAGGAAAAGTATTAACCCATCCCAAGTCAATAGAAGCGTAACGAAATTCAATTACAGGAACACGAGGCTGAGAAGCCATAAGTGGGAATTGTTATGGTCGTTACCGAACGACAACTGCAACGTCCACAAAGTATGTGGTGCCAACGCTGTTTGCAACGTCAATAATACGCCGGCATGTGAATACTTGCCTGGGTTCCGTGCCCAATCGCAGGAAGATTGGGATTCCGGCAACCATTCCGGTGGGTGCACGAGAACCACTGCAAATAACGAGGTATGGAAGGAAGACTTCGCCCCTTTTAATATATTAAATGTAAAGGAAGCAGAGTCGTCGCAGTTTGAAGCTAAGAATGAGGCCGAGTGCAGACAAGAATGCGTTAACAGAGGCTGCAAAGCTTATTCGTTAACCCAATTTAATATATATATATATATATAAGATTACTGTAATAATAATTACTGATTATCACAGTAATTTAATAAATATATAATTAGTGATTACTGTTATTATAAATATTGTTAATAACTAGATATTTACTTTAATTTTACTTTAAATTAAAATTATAAATATTGTTAATAACTAGATATTTACTTTAATTTTACTTTAAATTAAAATTATAAATATTATTATTAAAAAAGTACTCTTAATAAATTTAGTAATCCAATTTTAATAATTACTGAATATTACAGTAATTTAATAAATATAAATTAGTTATTATAATTAATAATTACCTTTATTATAAATGTTGTTAATAAATAGATATTTACTTAAATTTTACTTTAAATTAAAATTATAAATACTGTTAATAAATATAGTAATTATTGCTATATTCAAAATAAATAAAAATGTTATTAAAAGTATTGTTATTGATTATTTAATAAAATATTATAATTACTAACTATTACTAATAAATACTGTTAATTTAATTTAATTTTGGTAATTATTAATTTAATGAATATTGTTAATAAATCCTATTCATAAATTTAATAATTAATGTTATATTAAAATTAACTAAATAATATTATTAAAATTATCATTAATGATTATTTAATTAAATAGTATAATTACTTACTATTATTGATAAATGTTGTTAATAACGTTCTGACAACCAACTCTTTGAACATTTAGTTCCAACGGGTGGCCCATTCTGACAACAAAAATTACAAGAAAAAAATTATGGAACCACTCTGGCCACCGGTTTTTGGATCAACAGTTCGAACAGATAGTCCATTCTAACAACAAAAATTATAGGCAAAAAATTGATCTTGTAAGGTCCATTAAGTAGTATCATACGTGTTATGTCATTTGAGTGTGTGACTCATATAACTCGAAAACAGAACTGTTTTGGCCATAGGTTTTTGGATCGATGATTCGACTGTTCGGTTCGAATGGAGGACCCGTTTTGACAAAAAAATTATAAGCAAAAATTTATGGAACCATTTTAGCCACCAGTTTTCAAGTCAGCGGTTTGATTGTCCAATTTGAATGGACAGTCCGTTTTGACAACAAAAATTACAGGCAAAAAATTTAGTATGTGAGGTCCATTGAACAGTATCATACATGTTATGTCATTCAAGCGTGTGACTCATACAACCCAAAAATGGAACCGTTCTAGCCACCGGCTTTCGGGTCAACGATTCGACCGCCTGGTACAAATGGACGACCCGTTCTGACAACAAAAATTAAAAAAATAAAAAAACCAAAAACCATTGAACAGGTCAGTGGGTTAACGATTCGACCACTTAGGTCAATGGGTCATTGACCGATTCAATGGTTTTTGGCCAGGGACTAGGATTGGGGTAAAACGAAACTGGTTGCCTGGATAGTTTCCAATTAAAAAAAAAAAACGATGACCCATTCTGACAACAAAAATTACATGCAAAAAATTGAGTGTGTGAGGTCAGTGGGTTAACGATTCGACCACTTAGGTCAATGGGTCATTGACCGATTCAATGGTTTTTGTCCAGGGACTAGGATTGGGGTAAAATGAAACTGGTTGCTGGATAGTTTCCAATTAAAAAAAAAAAACGATAACCCATTCTGACAACAAAAATTACATGCAAAAAATTGAGTGTGTGAGGTCCATTAAGCATTACCATACGTGTTATGTCATTCGAGCATGTGACTTATACAACCTAAAAACGAAACCGTTCTGGCCACCGATTTTTGGGTCAATGGTCCAACCACCTGGGTCAATGGGTCATTGACTAATTCAACGATTTTTGGCTACAGACCAAGATTAGGATAAAACGGAACCAGTTGCCTAGATGGCCGATTAAAAAAATAAAACACATCCAAAAACCATTGAGCAGGTCAACGGATCAATAATTTGACTGCTTAGATCAATAGATCATTAACCGATTCAACGATTTTTAGCCAAAKACCAAATCAACGGGTCGACAGGTTGAGAATTCCATTCCAGCCCCTACGAAGCAGGGCCCCTCTGCTAGTTTAAAATTTAATAAAACAATTCATAAAATGATTAAACAAATGGTAAGTTACTAAATAATACTATAATTTGTATTATGAATGAAATATAAGTGATATATAGCAATTACTTATTTATTAATAATTTTTATGGGTAAATAACAACTAATATTTATTAAAATTAGTAAAATTTCATACATAACAGCAAATTTCCTCATTCTTTATTACGGGATCATTCACTAGAAAGCTTCTCTATCAAATACATGCGATCCTATTGTTTCAAGAACTAGAGAACTAGTATCCAAGAAGTGGATAGTTCCACTCCTAAACTTTCTTAAAAGAAAAATTCTGTAGTTTTGACACATGTATATCCACATATATACAATTAAATATAAGCATGGGACCCATTAAAAAAACTTAATTAATCTAATAATTTTTATTTCGTTGTAAGAATAGTTAAATAGTTATGTTATAAATGTTATTTCATTAATTAATAGAAATTTATTAAATAAAACATAAAACGATTAAATAGATAAATAAATAAAAGTWTGAGAAACGAATTTATAAAAAATAAAATGGTTCTCTTTGAAACCAAAGGGCTTTCTAGTCACCTGATTTATTTTTTTTTCAATTTAATAGCAATCTCAAATTAAATATAACAAATAAAATTTGAATCTTGACAAAATTATATAAAGGTACAATGTATGGGGTCATTCGCTAGTTTTGTCACCTAGCCCGGATATTTTCCCAAAAGCCATTAATCTGTCAGCAATCAGATGGTTAAACCACTAAACCGCTCAATTAACCYGGGCAACAATTCRTGGTTCAATAATAAAAAATCATAATTATATTTTAAGAACTAAAATGACAAAAAAATGTTAAAAATAAGAGGAGGGTTGAGAGAGAGATTTGAGGGAGGAGTCAACAGCCGTGGCCTCCTTCTCTCTTCCTCCTCCTCCCTCCTTCTTAACCACTCTTCTCACTTGCTTGTCTCTCCTCTTCTATCTTACCCTGATATTATAGTCGAAAGGCTAAGACGTATACATGTTATACTTAACTCAATGGGTTGTGAGCAGCCATGCATGTTACAGAACCTGGATGAACTATAAAAATAATAATAATAATAATAATAGACAGATCGAAAAAAGAATTATACCAACAAACAATCTGTCTAATAGTGCATTTGTAATGGTATATAAACCATGGGCATTGTTGGAATATCAATGATGCTGGAAATTGAGCATGATCAAAGCACACGGGTTTCCGATAAGTATTAATCATTAAATGGTCAAGAGACGTGGAGCTCATCTTCGTTGACTTCCCAAACCAATGCTCTGATAGCGATACATAGCCCACAATTTCACTGGTTCCATCCCCTACTCCATCACAAAACTTCAGAACCTCGAAATACTCCGTATATCGGACACCAGCCTCTCGGGTCCTATCCCTGAATTTCTAAGCCAACTCAAATGTCTCTGGAGTCTCTATTTGACCTACAACCAGCTTTCTGGTCCAATCCCGGCCTCTTTGGCAAGCCTTAACAAGCTGCAAATACTAATGCTATATTCGAACAAACTCACCGGAACCATACCCGATTCATTTGGGAGTTTCAAAGACGGCGAATACGGCGGTTTCACTCTCGATCTATCTCACAACCAGCTCTCCGGTGGAATCCCAACATCGATTAACGTCTCAAGCATCGACCTGTCGCATAACAAACTCAGTGGGGACGCATCAATGTTGCTGAGGGAGAATGGAGCAGCGGAATGGATCTACTTATCTCACAACCAACTCGACTTTGATCTGACGAAGGTGAAGTTTCCAAAGAAGATAAAAGTTTTAGATTTGTCCCACAACCAGATTCACGGCAACATTCCGAAGCAGTTAATTAATAAGTTGGATTTGGAAAGCATGGATTTGAGTTATAATCAGCTGTGCGGAAAGATTCTGTTCGGTGGGAATGTGCAGAAGATGGGTGCCAAATCCTTTGCCCATAATCGCTGTTTGTGCGGCCACCACTCCCGAACAAGTGCAAATAAACCAGTCTGCATGCAGTGAAAGAAGACACCTTGCATCACTGCCTGAGAATTTTGATTTCAACAAGAATAATTTCTTGTAATAAGGAATTTGCTGGAACATGCAGATATATATGAATGCTGTTCTCTTCTTTTTAATTTTTTTTAGTGAATAGCTGAGATAAAGTTCTTTTCAGTTTTACATGGTTTTCAAAACCGGACCGGATCGGAAAGAGACCGGAAAAATTGGGAACCGGTCACCTGATCTGACCAGTTTTATTTTTCCTCCAAAACTGTTGATTTTGGTCAGCAAACTACTGAACCGACCAATTAATCATTTAAACCATTTAAACGATTTTAATCATTTTTCAATTTTTAAAATTTTTTTGTCAGAATGGACTGGCCATTTGGGTCAAACGGTCAGACCATTCAAACCAGTAACCGAAACCCTGAATGATTCGATTTTAAACACCATGCTGTTTCATGTTGTAACTTTTCTTGGTGTCATGTCCATGGTTTCATGCCAGCTTTAAGAAATGTTTTGTTTTGCCTGCAAGGAAATTAATTTCAATGGTAACATAGGTTCGTGGTTTGATGAAATTCGTTTAGTGGAACTAATTTGCTAGTCATGATTTAAAATTTTCTTGTCCAGTTCAACAGTGAAAAATGTTTCTTTTGAAGGATTCAAGTTGGGTTGGATTTTATTTCGAAGGATTCACCACTTACCGTCTATCAAATAATACTGTACAAATTATATATACATAGGCATCTATAGATTTAAGTATTCAACTCTTTCGCTTCACTCCGTTTTTCATATTTCTGTAATATTCAATAAATAAAAAAAATGGTTAATAAAGAGAGAGATTTGAATTTTTTTTGGAAATTGTAAAATAATCCATATATAAATTAAAGGGCTGTATTTTAATATTTTATTTTGAATTTCGTTTTAAGCTCTTATCATCATGAATTAGGGTTAAGTCGGATTGTCAAAGTCAGAATTTCAAATTGCATTGAGAGGTTCAAGCTCATAAAGAGAATGAGAGAATGATTGATCAGCCCACATCAAATCAGAATTTGTGTTAAACGTGTCATTTCGGAATTAATGCTAATTTACGGGCAGTCATTGATGCATAAAATATAGGTTGTGGATCAGAAAGATTTGACAAAGCCGTACTTTTCGATAAAATAAATTTGCCAATGCCATCGTTTCTCCACGTAGCAAGAATTATAGCAAGGATATGTCTGTCTGTCTCGTAGTGCATTAATGGTTGATAATAGATTGTCGTCATCCCATCCCATGATGTCGACAAGCATATATAACAATGACTGATCAAAATAAATAAAAAATTATCAAAGACAAGTCGGTGGGTCCCTTTTTATGGCCATTCAATAGCGATAGGCAGTTTGATATAATTGGCAATATCAGTGAYGCCTTAAATTGACTATGACCAAAGCCACACGGAAAAAAAATTGGGAAATGACCTTTCAGCCCACGTCAGAATTGATGGGCCTAAACTACAGTTGGGGTGGGTGTCAATTTAGAATTGATGTTAATTTATGGGTGGATATGAGTGTATAGGGTGTGGATTTTGACCTTTTGAATGTTTATAGAGTTGTTGCATAATTCAGAATTCTATATTAGGCATGTCTGTACTCTGAAAAAAATTTGGCTGATGATTCCTAATAATGTTTGAATTTGTTGTTCTCTCTTAGAAGGCAATTCAAACTTTGGACTAGCTATGTGGTCGGGTTGAACCGTAAGAGAAAAAGATCAGAATGCTCTAAGATGTTTTACTCGGTGTGGGCGTTCTGATGCTTAAGTTAGCATTGGAGATTTGGGAGAGTTGATAGCTTGAAAGTGATTGAGTGCAAAAGCTAAATCACACGTACCTTACGAGGGTGGAGGTGAAGCCTTTATATAAGCAAATTGTTGTGGGCCTCACGATGTGTGTCTGAAATCACTGGCCCGTCTAACTCGACGTTAGCTTCGCACCCGAGGATGGGCTCCAATTAAGCTGATAAGGCTTATCTAGGTTTGTCCGAATTGGATGGGGTGAAGATAAGATCCGTTGACATGCACCATAATTCCAAGGAGATCAGAGACAGTTGGCTTACTTCTAGAAGGAGGCTACATGGCACCTCGATAGGTCGATGGATGTAGTGAGCTGCTCGGGCCTCAGTCTTGGCTGAGTGACCCGAGGTGACTAGGACTATTGAGGTGTCCGAGATTGTTACAGTGTCGCCATATCACTCAGTCATTCCACGTGTTGTCTCATCATTGGACGGGCCAAATTATCCCTTATCAATGGCCCCCCACTCCCGAGCCTAACGTAGTCAACTCGGGGCGGGAGTCTCAACGAGTTGAATGGATTTGGCCCGGTCTCTGATTCAGCCACACTCCAACCAATGGTTCAGACCTGTTCAACTCAACTAGCTCAACCTTAGGGGGGGAAGTCGTGTCTCGAGCACGTACGAATGTCATGCGAACATTAAGCTCCGTAGACGTGAAAAACGTGCTCAACAGATTTTTGCCTCAAAATATGAACAATCACACCCCTGGGAGTCATCGGATCTATTCGATCTGGTCCGTTCGTGGTCAGTTAAGGCGCCTATAAATAAGGCCCTTGGGGACCCATTTACTTTGTCCATTTTTGAGCTCTAGTGCATTTGGAGGTCACAAAACACTTTGTTGTCGATATCTTCAGTTTGGTTGGCGAGGTCAATTGTTTTCTCCCCTTCAGTGAGTCGTCCTCCTTTTCCTTTATTTCCTTGTTCATTTTAGTTATGTTGAGTAGTGAGTTTGGTGAGGTGAGGGTAAAATCCTGTCAGGCCAAAGAGAGGGCCTCAATCTAAAACTAACAAGGTTCACATAGAGGGGCTTCATCTTCTCGTCAGCCATCTAGGCCCAGGGTGCCGAATCACTTTGTTCCTACTGAGTTGTCTGCCRAGGAGATCCATAGCTTGGTAGCTCGATATAGGTTTCCAAACCATTACGATTACTCCCTTCCTACTAGTGCTTTCCCTTAGGATCACGACAAGGACGAAGTGGTCGTCTTCGAGGAGGCTCTGAAGGTAGCTCTCTGGTTTCCGCTCCACCCCTTCATTCCCAAGGTCCTTAACTACTACAATGTTAGCCTCAACCAGTTGCATCCAGACTCCATCCGTACCCTAGTTAGTACAATTTCCCTTTTCTTTCACCTCAGCCTTACCCTTGACATCAAGACCTTTGCCGGACTCTACCAAATCAAAYAAAACCCTTCTAGCACCTCGGGCAAGGTCAGTTACTACTTGTCTTACCGGCTTGGGAACAAACTTCTTCGAGCTTCTTGTGCAGGAGACATGCCAGGTGTTTTGACTTTGGAGTTCCTCCAAAACATGAGGAAGAGGAAGGTGTCTCACAAGGACGCACCTCGAGCATCAACTCTTGAGCCCGCTGCACCAGTTGCTGCTGAGGAAGTCCTAGTGGTCGACCTAGTCAGGGAAGATCAACCGGAGAGGCCCTCACATGAGACCGAGGTGGCCCAATCGTCCGAGGCGCACCCTCTACAATACAAGGCCCAAATATCTAAGGACACTCCTAGGGAGAGAAGGTCCATCATGGACTTCAGGATTGCCCTGATCAAAAGCAAGGAGGACATCTTTTCCAAGGAGGTCTCCGACCTCTCTGAGTTGCGATCTGGTGAGCTCGACACCAAAGCCATGTGTTTCCTCATGATGGTAAGCTTCTAACCTCCTCAACGTTCTATTCCCGAGTTGTGTCTTTGTACTTAAACTTATTCTTTCCTTTATAGACGAACACCATAGTTCACTCCCTAGTCAAGCAATTTGAGCAACACTTGACAAGGGCTGACAATGCTGATGCGGCGGTGAGTGAATCTCAGTCTTGAGTGTAGCAAGCTGTCGACGTCATCGGCAAGTTAAAGGGAAAGATGGTGAACAAGAGTAACCACATTGGGGAGCTAGAGCTTCATGCTAAGAAGCTCAAGAAAGAGCTTTAGGAGAAGGATGCTCACCTCACTGAACGCAAGGCCCAAGCTTCCAAGGCCCGTGCCGTTGAACAGTTCAAGGTCTCGCCAGGCTATTTGCAGGAGAGGGAGGAGTTCGGCACTGTGACTTTCCATTAGGGTTTCAAACTCTATTGGATGTTGATGAGATCGATATACCTTGAGTTCAACCTAACGCTCACCAAGTCGTCGGCCTGCACCAATTAGATGTCAGATCAGGTCAATCTGGAGATGGATTCCAAGAACGAGGAAGACGAGACTGGCAAGGGAGCTGAGGTGGGAGCCGAAGTAGACGTTGCCAGAAAGGATGCCACCATAGGAGAAGGTGCCAAGGGGGAAGCTACTGAAGTGGTTGGTGATGGAGACAATGAGACCCAAGATGTTTGAATCCTTTGCTTCTTTTCTTGGACCCCTCATGTAAAAATGTAAAGTGTCGAGCTTCAGATGTCGGTCTAATAGAATTTTCTTCTTTTTTTTCTTACAACAATGTAATCAATGTTTATCCTCAATGAATAAACTTTTTATTTTGCACACCTCGTGTCTTTCTCTTTTAAACCTAAAACTTCACAAAAATAAACTAAGTATAGGATTAACCTATGCCTAGCTCCCGAAGCAACTAGGCATAGTATGAGATTAACCCATGTTGTCTATATGCCAAAGAGACTAGGCATAGTATGGGATATAACCCGAATTGCCTATGTGCCGAAACGACTAGGCATATCGAATTGCTGACATCGTTGCCAAGTTGGCATAGGGAGCCTTTAGGTTTAAAGTGACTTGGTGTCCCCTTTTGAGGTGTAATTTAGCCGATGTGCTCCATACTACAAGACAACTTGACCAAGTTGTCGAGGCGAGTGGTCTTTTCTACTTAGTGAAATTTCAAGAACTTGGTGAAGTTGCAGATGCTGGACTCCTGAGCTCATAGGTAGTACCTTCATAGATTATCCATGTTCCAAGCATGGGGCACCTGCCTCTCCTCCAACATCTCGAGCTCATTCGTTTCTTCACCAATTACCCATAGCACTCTGTAGGGACCTTCTTAGTTTGGCCCTAGCTTACCAATATTGAGCTCAGGTACCACAACTTTTTGAAATACAAGGTTGCCAACTCGGAAGTGGCGT